AAAAAAAAATCAAAACAAGACTCAGATCTAACTTTACATTGGTTACTGGATTTTCATTTAGGGTACATTTACAGCAATTCTTAACAACTACTTTAAAATTTACTATATATGATATTACTCTGGACAATATATTTCTGGTAATCATATACAAAATCCTAAATACTCTGTCTATACTCTGTGATGCTAGATTATATAATAAGCAAATATTTAAATATCAAAAATCAAATAAAAGCATAATTTATAAATTATAATTTGTCTACATTAAATTTCTTTATAAATTGAATAATGTAAATTTATAAACTAAATTATAGTTTAAATAAACCTCCTATCAGTATACGAACTTACTATTCATTTCAAGAAACAGGATATTTATCTAGGAGGAAACCAGAAGTCTCAAATAATAGAGTCCACCCAATTATAGTCCCTCTCCCCAACCAAAGATATTATTATTTCATACTTACGAAGTTCCACGTGAGGATTTGTGATTTGTTTCTTCTGTGTATCTCCTCCATCAACCTCATCTAAAGGTTTAATATAATTAGTAAAGACAAAGTTTTAAGTAATCACCAGTTTTTTTTCTTTTTTCCCTGATATAATAAAAATTAGCAAATCAAAAGTAAGACTATCCTAGTAAAGTCACCATCAAACAAGCATGAAATATATAAACCATGTAAACAATTTCAATGTATCTTTTGAAATTTTAATTTTTTAGTTAAAGAAGAGAATTAAGGTTGAATAATTTTTCTTACATTTGGATGATTTCTATTATAGCAATATAGTAACTCAGCTCTTATGCCAAAAATTTGGGTGTGAAATAATACTTCCCTGATAGCTTGTACTGTTTTCTTTATCATATGCTAACATACATACAATGTATTAAAAGAGCCATTCTTTGTATTTGACTGATTAGTCTAGCAAACCTACTCCCAGATCCACTGGGCTTAATCACTGTTGATTTGAAATATATCTTAAGATCTGGAAGAACAAATCATTCCCCAGGTTTCACATTTTAAGACCATCTTTTGAAGCATCAGAGCCTTCCAAGGATCACATTTAAATACCTACAGCCTAACAGCAGCCTATAGAATACTAAACAAATACCTTATTTATTAATCAAAATTTATTATAGCAGTCACTACATTTTAAACTACTAATCACAATCTAATCTAACCCAGGGATCATCAAACTGTTTCTATGAAGAGCCTAAAAGTAAATATTTTAGTTGGTTACAACTATTCAACCTACATGTGAGAATAAGCATAAACAATAAGTAAATAAATGAGTGTGCCAGTATCCCAATAAAACTTTAATTACAAAAACAGGTCCATATAGTCTACCAACTCCTGGTCTACACCCACAGTCAAACACAATGATGTGAAATGCCAAGTTTTTTAAATATTGAGATGAAGGTGAACATAATAGGCACAACCCCACAGGAACTGGAAAAGAAAGGAGACATCTAAGGGGTAGTAGAATGGAAACCTTTGCATATACACTGTGAGTTACATAGTGAGACAGATGTGTTACCCATGTAATGCCATGTAAACCTTGGAAGACGCTGTTTTGCCACTTCACAGACATGAAACCTAAGGATTTCGGATGCTACTATAAAGTGATAGCAACAGAATCTAAAACCATATGGACTCTCCCATTCTACCACACCAAGGAGTGAGAAGAGGGGGAATGTTGCAACTTTGGCAATAAGAATTAGAATTATCTGTAACAGCTATAAAAAAACATAAACAACTAAAATTAGTAACTCAAAGCCTAGAAGAAGCACGTTTGGTCTGCTTTAACACACCTGGAGGCTCAGGGCCTTGATTCTCTGTCCCCTCCTTGCCCATCTGCCCAACTTGGTAGTAAGCACTATCTGCTCCACGCAAGGTCTCTCTCTTTTGAGAAGAGAGATCGGGGCTTTTTCCTGCTGTCCCTCTGAAGAAGGATAACATTCCAGAAGGCTTTTTGGCTTAAAATAAGAAAATAACATTAAGTACAGGTCACTGTCACTGGAAAATAAAAATTTTCAACTCATTCCTGTGTTAGCAGCAACCATTATACACATGGAGCTAATAAATCTGAGTAACACAGATATTTTCAGTGGCACAGATTATCATTCCCTGTGGTGCTACTTCTGAGCAGTCAAGCACTAGAAACACAGATGGAAAGCAATACTCAGCTAGTTGAATACAAAAAGGTGAGAAATTCTCTAGAACCCCTCTTGAAAATATCTTTTAACAGCAATTTCTTAAGCAACAAGATTACATTAGGGTTGCTATAATATTGCCACACAGTTAATTAAAATGACATAGAACAACTTCACAAGCTAAAAGAATTCAGTTAAAGGTAACATCTCTGTGTTATTTGTGTTCCTTCATTTTAACACAGGAAAATAAAAGATTCTGTTAGCATGTTTTCAAAAATAGGCCATCACATGGCCAACAATTTACTAAAGCTTGCTGTATAATTTTGTTCCTAGTTTTGAGGTTCATTCATCATACTTGTAAATTTACCATTTACACATGTAACATCCAGAGAAATTATACTTAGGGTGGGAGACACTATTATGCCTTCTAAGTATCCACTCCTACCTAGTTGTTAGCTAATAGAATTCTGCTTTGGGTGGGTGGGGGCGGGGGGGGGCGTAGCTATGTGTAGAAGCCCAGGATATGGATCGTGACTGTTATGAGCCAAGCAGGATGTGTTGCTCCCTACTTTCTTGGTCTCCTTCACATCAGAGGTGGCCCTGAGACTTAGTTCTGGCCAACAAGACAAAAGAGGGAATCTCTACACCCCTAATGAAAGAGAGCAGCTGTAGCTTGCACCACCCTTTTTTCTGCCTCAAAAGTGAAAAATGGAACATTTTTGACCATGAGGAAAATTTAAGAGAATCAAAGAGAAATTATCCCTCTACTATAATAATAATGCTGAGCAGCTAAACCAATGCCAGCAACTGCCCACACCCAGCTGTGGGTATTTTAGAAAAGTAAACTAGCCCTTATAGTCAGGTGAATTTTCTGCCATTTGTAGCTGAATACATCCTAACCAACAAAGAAACCCTAGTTCAAATCCAAGGCCACCAGTGACTGCCTAATTGTGAGCAAGTTACTTTAGCTAAACCTTAATTTTCTTTCTGAAAAAAAGAAGATATGACAAATAATCCTTTTTTGACTATTTTAGGGATTAAAGGAGATAAGGCATGAAAATTTCTTTTCATAGTGCCAATAAGGCTATGAAAACTCAAAAAAAAAAATCTAAAAAGTAACTTGTTGTTTTTATCTTAGGTGGTACATTTTAAACTGCAAGCTCTAGGAAGGAATATCCTCCTTTTTGCCTAGATCAAGGAGCAATTTGAAACAAACTGAATAACTCAAACATTCATTAAAGATAAGAATCAAGGGCAGTGCCTGTGGCTCAAAAGGGTGGGGTACCGGCCCCATATGCCAGAGGTGGTAGTGGGTTCAAACCCAGCCCTGGCCAAAATCTGCAAAAAAAAATAGATACAAATCAAAAAGGAAAAGTAAAACATCTATAAAAGATGATATTAAAAATGCTTACATTTATATATATTTCAAAGACCAAAAGTACTAAATCCTTGTCAGATGGCACTTAATGTTTTTATGTGTTCTCTTTTTCAAACCGTAACTTAAAACAAAACTTATCATAAATACTTCATTGTAATCTTACTTGGTTGTGGTTCTGCTTCTGCAGGACGGTTTGTCTGTCCCCCACTGCTTTCAGGTAATCTAATAGGGCTGCTACTCTTTGGTCTACTGTCTAAAGTACTGAAATGAAAAACAAAGGGAAAATTGGTTTTATACTAGTTTTAGATAGAAAATAACAAGTAGTCTGATTCCTACACTAATTTACTTCCCACCTAACCCCACCACAACATCAGAGCTCTGATTCATAATTCACACAAACAGAGGCTGGAACGTGGAACAGAAAGTCTTTAAATATCTACTGGATATAAGGAAGTAGAATGTTGTATTATAAAAAGATATGGAAGTATAGACTTTTATAATATGTTTCCCCAAGTTCATTTGCTCTGGATTTCCTCTTTATTTAAGTCAAACATTTACAGAAAATACCAATTTCATTTTCCTTTCCCTGGTCACCATAACGATAATTCAGATGAAATTTCATCATGTTAGTAGAGTTAGAAATTCTATTTCAGTAAGACTCATAATAATGGACCTATGACAATTTCTATCTAGATGTCTAAAATACTAAATATGCTAAAAAGAACTGGTTTGGATTTTTTTAAACTATGAGGAGCTTTAGCTATAATGAACAATTCACAGATACTTTAAATCACAAAGGCAAGCAGCAGCTTACTAATTTTATAAGTTACTATCTTTTAAATCAAAACTTTTTTCAAAAACACTTAAAGTTTCAATCTGTAATAAATATTGAACTGCTATAGAAATTGTCAGAAAACTGTCTCCTAAAGAACTATTTAAGGTCTTGTGCAGTTCCTTTAAATCTTCTTGTCTTTTTTATTGGTTGAACTATGAGTGCCATTGTCTGGATCCTAGAAATTTTTACACTAAGATGCTATAATAAAACTAAAGTACAAGCATATACAAAATAATCATACAAGTGAATTAAGATAGATTCTACTCAATCAGAAATCACCTAGTTGTTGGAAGCCCTTCCTCGCCACTGTTCCACAGAGTTGCTTTAGACAATTCCTCCAAGGCATTTCGGTATTCTTTACAACTTGGGGAAGAAAAATGTTAAACATTAAGTTCTACCTTTTAAATACATCATATATTTTAGAATAAGTTTTGCATTATGGAAACACAACCATTTTAAGTGTACATCATTAAATACATTTTAGTTAACTAACAAAAACAATTAAGTAGAGACCTTACAAGGAAGGGCTACAGAACATGCACCCAGTGACCCATAAGCAGTGTCAACAAACTCAGTGTTTTGGGTGCAACTGCAAGAAGGATGCTACCTCACAAATGAAAACACTGTAACCTAGTCTGTACTCTCATATTAACTAGAAATTAAAAAAAAAAACAACACTCAACAAAAATTTTGAAAGCCTATATACTAACATTTACATCAGATGACTTCAGGGATTGAACATGTAACTGAAAAGTCTCACACCTCAGGGTTTAGTACAATAGAGAATGAAGGAGCTTGAGTATACTTTTCTACTAAATGTACTAACCTTTAAGGAAAAAAAATATTTTTAATGCTCTATTAACCAATCTCACTCTTGGACCAGCAATCTGGGAGCACTGCTTTAGATATATCAAATATGGAACAAGAGAAGCATGTTAGGAAGTATTGTTTTTCCAAGACATTGAAAGAAGATGACCTCAACTAGAATACTTGCTTCTAATAGTATGAAAAATATTTTTGATTTGGTTGCCTTTCCTACCTTTCGTATCTATTAATGTATTATAACTAAGCAATAAAGTGAGAAGCAATATGTAAGTCACTAGAAGGTTTTGAGAAAGACTGTGGTATGGTTCATTAATTCACTTTCAAAAAACACAATCAACAGCATCTTTTCCGATTCACCCACGCAAGTTTCAACTTGCTCAGCTTATCATGTTGCTGGGAGGGCTTCGTTTGTTTCTGTCCATCCAATTTTATGTTTCCTGGTTTCTGTGCATCTCAAAACTTTTGTAATGACCCATGTACTGTCTTCATAAAGGCCAAAAGGCAAAGATAAAGAATTCATCGTATAGAATTTTACAAAGGAAGAAATTCCTCATCATAACCAATAGTAAACTCTGAACACCATAAGGGCAGAAACACATAAATTCAACTCTTTTAATCCTGCATATCCAATACTTAGTATGTCACATTTTGTAGACATTTAAATATTTACTGAATGGAGTTCTTATAACCACTATCTAAAAAGAAAATTAAAACTTTTGATGGCTCCCAAAGTAAAAAACATTTTTTAATCAAATATCCAAGATTCTACTCAAAATAAGTTCAACCACTGCCAAGATACTCTTAAGATTTAAAAACTTTGCTCTTTTAGCCATACTATATAAATATTTTTAAAGTAGGATGCCTTTTTATGACATATGATCACAGTGTAAATTAAAAAGTCAGACTTATCTAAAGGGGAAGGCATAATAGCATTAACAGCAGTAGTACCCACTTAGCCACAGTTTCACATTCCATGAGTTATCCATCCTCAACTGCAGTTCTAAATTATTAACATATTTTGAAAAAGAGAGACTATATTCACATAACTGTCACTATAATATATTGTTATAATAGTTCTATTTTATTATTGCTGTTGTTAATGTCTCATTGTGCCTAATTTATAAATTAAACTTTATTCCCAATGCAGTGGCTCACATCTATCCTAACACTCTGGAAGGCCAAGGCAGGTGAATTGCTTAAACTCAAGAGTTCAAGACAAGCCTGAGCAAGAGCAAGACCCCATCTCTATTAAAAATAGAAAAGTTAGCTGGGCATGGTGGCATGCACATGTAGTACCAGCTACTCGGGAGGCTAAGCAAGAGGAGCCCAGGAGTTTGAGGTGGTTCTGAACTATGACACTGCAGCACTCTAACCTGGGGCAATAGAGTGTGACTATGTCTCAAAGAAAAAAAAATTAAACTTTATCATAGGTATGTATGTATAAGAAAAACATAGTGTGTATAGGGTTCATTACCATCCATGCATTCAGGCATCCACTGGGGAGTCGTGAAGATACCCATCACAGATAAGAGGGCATTACTATATTCTAAGTAGGAACACTGTAACTCATATATGTATGAAGCAGGAAAGAAATGAGTAAAGAGTATAAAAAAAGATATTCAGATGATATAAGGCAGGATATTCCAAGTATCAGGTCAATAAGTAAATTAAAGTATGGGATTAAAAGATAATTATAACATGATGGTTATAGAATTCAAGGATCAGTAAATAATTTGCCTTCTCAATTTAGTTATTAGGCGCTTATTTAAAAATCATTCTATGCCCATCATTTGGGTAAAGAAAGGGTTTTCAGGTACAAAGAGAACAGGTTATCATGACTAAAGATATATTTTTGCTGATAATTAATCATTTTGCTTTATTCTATGTGAAAGATCCAAAAATAAAATCTAAAGACATACATAAAATACATAGAAATAATCACAGGTGAAAAAGTCCCAAGAATAATACCTGAGAGCAAAAGCAATGATGGAGCTGGGTTCCTTCTCACAGACTGCAATGGGCACTCGTTCATGTTCATACATTAAGTAGTGTTTATCAGGATCACTGTTCGAATTTGTTAAATACGTAAGTAAATTAGAATAAAATTCCCAAAACAAAATCATATGTAAAAACCAGTAACATGTTACAAGTAAATCTCATAACAATTCTAAGTTAAATAAATACTGCACAGTAAGAATACAATTAAGAAAGCCAAAATGCACACAGATGCTGATAACATGAATCAAATAGGCAACAAAAAGATATCAAGAGAAAGTTATGAAGGTAATTAGAAAATTATCAGAATTAGGTTACAAATCAGAGAGTTCTGAAAGTCACTTCCAATAAAGATTTCCATATTGCCAAGACTTTAGTCATATTAATCTCAAAAAGAATGAAGTCTAAGATATTTTGTTCCACTATAAGCTTGAGAGAAGTCTACAAATTGTGGAGAAGGCATACTACTAGTCCAACTATAAGGAACATAACACTCTAACTCCCTAGGCAGTATTAGGCACAGTCATCCATTTTATTTAGGTGATATTTACCGAGCACCTTACATGTGTGAGATGTTAACAGCTATGATGGTGAAAAAGATAGGCATCATAGAGTTTATAGTGTAGCAGGTAAAGAAACAAATAATCGTAAATAAATATAATCACTATGATAAATGCTATGAGGGAACTGTTATATAATAAATGTTTGTGTTTTTCCTCCCCAAATTCATATTAAAATCCTCACCCTCAATAATGATGGCATAAAGAGGTAGGACCTTTGCAAGGTAATTTAGATCATAAAGGTAGAGTCCTCTCTAATGCTCTTCCCACTACATGAAGATATAAAGAGAAGGCAACAATCTACACCCCAGAAAAGAGACCCCTCTGGGAATTTAACATGCTAACACCCTAATCCCAGACTCCTAGCCTCCAGAAATGTGTGAAATAAGTTTCTGTTGTTTATAAGCCACCCAGTCTATGGTTAATTCATTTTAGCAGCCTGAACTAATTAAGACAGGAATCATGAGAGCATATAACAAAGAAAAAAATAAACTGTCTAGACAAGAGGGATAGGGGAGATCCTAGTAATGTTTTCCTAAGAAAGAGTAAGATTTAATGATTAAGAAAGAAGGTGAGAGCATAAACAAAGGCTATAAAATAAGAAGGATCATAGCCCATTCATGAAATTGAGATATTTGGGTCTGAAGTAGAAAAAATAAGGAACTTGTACAATACTATTACACTAGCTTGTAACACGTCATATACCACACTTAGTCTCTACTTGTCTCTTCTCCAAGATTAGGAGCTCCTCAGAGCACCAATTTTTTTTCCCTTACAGGGCATCACAGTAGGCACTAAATAAAATTTGAATATTTACTGAATAAATACATAAATCAAATGAGAAAAAACAGTAGGTCTTACTAAAAATGTCTTCCTTTTGGATATACTTGTACTACTCTAACAAGAACAGCCATTTCATGGCCACACAGGGCAACCAGTGGAAGAAAAACAAACTTTGACAGTCAGCCTATATTCTTTTCCAATCTGAGTGAACCCAGTCCAAAAAGATCTTCTAAAAACTATTATAGGTCACTGTAATTTAACATCACTGCTAGAAATATGACATGTCCCAGTAAATATGACATGACCAGTAATACCATCCTCATATACAAACAGTAGTGTTTTTATTATAACAAGATAATGAATGTAGCAGTATTATCTTTTTAAAAAAAGTATATATATTGTTTACAGAACCAGAAATACTGTGACTTAAACAACATTAGAAAATGCTTTCTTCATCCACTCATCTACTATATCATCTACAAATTACATCATACCAAAAGATACATCTTTTATTATGATGAAATAAAATGTAGGATCAAGAAATACATACACATATCAATAAACAAACATAGCTGACATCTAAATATGTAGAAAATAAGTCTAGAGATTTTTTCACATTAAGGAAAAATAAAACCACCCACTAGCTTTAATAATACTTACAAAGGAAAGGGAATGGGATTGTAGCTATTTCCTGGAAGCAAATTTGCAAAGATGGCTTTCATGGTTGACTTTTCTTTCACCTGGCTGTCTGTGGATCCCAGCAAATGTCCATCAAACACATCTAAAATGAAAAATAGATACCCTCAATGAATCCCAAATAAAAAATAATCTACTTATATATTAATGTTCAAGGAGAATAAAGAGTATAAATTACCCCCTTTATTTCTCTTCCATTTTAGAATATAGACAAATGTACACTATAATTACCAATTATAGTTTAAAATCTCTGATCTAAGAAAAGGACTCCTGTAGGATAAAATAGGAAGCAACAGTGAAGTATACACAGCACTGACACTAAGGGGCTTTAAAAAAAGAGGAAAATCTTTAAAACATTTCTTTAAACATTTTTTAACATCTCTGAAATTAAGATCATCCCACAATCAACCACTGCAGCAGCCAAACAGCAGCCATGAGGGGACCACTGCTTGAGCCTGTGTGATCTTAGTCACAGATGTTCATGTTGTCACTGCAACTCAATTATGTGCACTGCAGCTATTACACCTGAATTTAATAGCAATTTTAAAGTTGATTCCAAAGCATATACTATAATTAATTAGTTACCGCTTAAATAGAAAGCGTGGAAAAAGAGAAGTAAGGCATAAACTCACTGTTATGAAGCAAACATTTGTTGTTGGAGAAATGGCTGCAATTTTACTTTCTTACAAAGTTACCGTTTGCTTTATGAAACTACAGAGAGCTAGATTCCCCAGAAGGTAGATGACGCTGACTGACAATCTGTTATTAAGATATTTACAAGTCAAGCAATACAATTAAAGGAAAAAATAATATGATACAAAGCTATATCTAAAGAAGCACTTTTAATAAGCATAAAATAGAAAATTTAAAGAGATAAAAAACCATTATGTCAAAGAATTAGCAGTGTGTTTTTCTTCCTTGGAGACATATAAAGTGAAGATAACATCTTTCAGTCTAAGAGTCAGTGACATATAGTAAGAATGACTTAAACTGCACCTTCAGAACTGCTGGCTGTGTCTGGCTCCGGGGCCCCTCCCACTGACTGCTCAGACATGACTTCAGGTGGAGTAGGCAACTGGAGATGGGTAGAACTGGTAGAGCCCTGGCTGGACAGGGTTGTTAAGAAGCGATCCTCTAAAGAAAAATATAATCTTAAATGAGTCATTTATCAATATTACATCTGTTTATTTCCATCTAATATTAATTTTTTTTGAGACAGAGTCTTACTTTGTCACACGTGGTAGAGTGCCATGGCATCATAGCTCACAACTTCAAAGGATCCACCTGCCTCAGCTTCCCAGTACCTGGGACTACAGGCGCCTTCCACAATGCCCTGCTAGTTTTAGAGATGGGGTCTCATTTTTACTCAGGCTGGTCTCAAATTCCTGAGCTCAAGCAATCCACCTGCCTTGGCCTTGATATTAATTTTTTTTAACATCAATTCACAGTTCTACTCTCTAAAACATAAAATTTTTACTTTTCAAAAATCATCTAGGTCATACAGCTCATCCAGAAAGGTTACATATGACTTGTATGCATGATGGCAGTACTGCAAGTGTCAACCAAGTCTGACTCCTGTCCAATACTCTTCTCACAACACCACAATGCCTACTTAAGTATTAGTTTATTTAGTTTAACAGAGAATGAAATTAGGATACTGTGGGAAAAACTATATGCTTATTCTAAAGGAGAAAGAAACCACTAAATCATAATAGAAAAATAGCAAGAATTATGAAATGAGCTCTGGCTCTATAAAAGTAGTCTATAGAAATTTCCCCAGAAAGTTTCTACAATGACATCAAGTTGTTCAGTGAATACTGTGAAAGACATCTTAACTCTAGAAAAATTTCTAGCGATATTAAAAATGTAAATTAGGCCAGGCATGGTGGCTCATGCCTGTAATCCTAGCACTCTGAGAGGCAGAGGCAGGTGGATCCCTTGAGCTCAGGAGCAACAGCGAGACCCTGTCTCTTGTAAATATAGAAAACCAGCCGAGTATTGTGGTGGACACCTGGAGTCCCAGCTACCTGGGAGGCTTAAGCAGGAGGATCACTTGAACCCAGGAATTTGAGGTTGCTATGAGCTATGAAGCCATAGCACTCTACCCAGATCAACAGAGTGAGACTATGTCTCAAAAACAAATAAATAAATAAAATTTAAAAATGAAAATGTAAATTAAACACTGTAAGATTTTTACAATGAAACCTGGGTGTTGACTTGAGATAAGTCAAATAGGTTTTTAATTTCTTTTTTCTGTTTTTTCCTCCTCATGGATTTCTATAACCCGATTTTGTCTTCCTGCAATATGCCACATGATAATCTTAAACTGATAGGGTTACAGGAAGAAAAGTCTATATACAATTGCAATGGAAAAATAAGCTCAAAGTTAGCAGTTAAAAATAACTTTACACTAAGAAATTTCTTTAAATCCAATAGCAAGTGTCACCAGACTCAAGTACCAACCTTTTTCTCCATTTTGAAGTCCTGGGGAAATATTCCGTGGAGATGCATCCATTGCACTTATCTACAAAGAAGTGAATACTTTGTTCTTAAGGGAAACATTAAAATCACATTAAAATTTTTAACCTGATGAATCTTAAATTTTTTGGTTTCAGGATTTGTTTGTATTCTTAAAAATTACTAAGGATCCCCTCAATTTAAAATAGTTTTCCTTTAATTTATTAGAAATTAAAACTGAGAATGTTTTAAAATATTCACTTATTAATTAAAAAATAATAAATGCATTACATATAAACATAAGAACATTTTTATTAAATAAAAACATACTTATGTTCCAAAATTAGAAAAACATTGGTAAAAGAGTGATACTGCTTTACATTTTGACAAATTATCTTTAATGTCTAGTTAAATAGAAGGCAGCTAGATTCAGATCTGGCTTCTGCATTTAATCTGTTGAGAAACATTGTTTTGATTGAAGTATATAAAGAAAATTGGCTTCACACTGGTACACAGTTGAAAAAGAGAAAATATGCAGATCCTATGAAAGGGTCTTGGATTCTCAGTCATACTTTGAGAACAGTGTTCTGAATAGTGGCTTATTTATTATCATTCAATCATTTAGGAATACTCAAGATTACCCATTAAGCCTAATAATCTTACCAAGAAACCATCTCCTCAATTCCTATTATCTATATATAAGAATATATCTAGAATAAATAAAAGGCCCGTGTCCAATTTCATTACAAAGTCATTTCTTAGGTCTTCAATTAAAGTTCACTGTATCAGAGATATTTCTCTAGCCACTCTATATAAATTAACGTACTACTTATCCTCTCAGCAATACTCTCTCTCTCACTCATTTTTGTCTTCATAGACTTTTCTTATGTTTTCAAATGTTTGTCAGTCTCCTCTTCATTAGACAAATATTCCACAAAGACAGTAACTATAGTCTTTGTTCATAACTGTATACCTTGACCCCAGAACCATATCTAGCACATAATAAGAACTAGACAACTATTTATTATGTATATATAGTAGTCCTTTCATATCCAGAATTTCGCTTTCTGCAGTTTAAGTCAAACTTGGTCCAAAACATAAAATAAATGGAAAATACAGAAGTAAACAATTCATAAGTTTAGTTTCAAATCACATGTTGTTCTGAGTAATATGATGAAACCACATGCCATCCTGCTCTGCCCTGCCCAGGGCATGAATTATCTGTTTGTTGAGCATATCCATGCTGTCTACACTACATACCCCTTACTCACTGAACAGCCAGTTCAAGTATTAGATTGACTGTTGCTGTACTTAGGTTCAGGGAACCCTTACATTACTTAATAATGTTTCCAGAAAGCCAGAGAAGTGATGCTGGCTTATTGCTATAATGTTCTATTTTATTATTATTTATCGTTAATCTCTTACTATGCCTAATTTATGAATTAAACTTTATCATAGGGACATATGTACAGGAAAAAACATGTATAACTACACACAGGGTTCATACTATCTGCAGTTTCAGGCATCTACCAGCGATCTTGAAACACATCTGCTGCAAATAAGAGGGATTACAATAAATAGTAGTGCCACAGGATTTCAAATCAACTTTCTGGCTTTCAAAAAGATGATCATCTGAGTCAAGTGAGGTGGCTCACATCTATAATCCTAGCACTTTGGGAGGCCGAGGCAAGCAGATCACCTGAGCTCAGGAGTTCGAGACCAGCCTGAGCAAGAGCAAGAACCCATGTCTAAACAATAGCCGGGCACCATGGGGGAGGGGCACCTGTAGTCCCAGCTACTTAGGAGGCTGAGGCAAGAGGATCACTTGAGTTCAAGAGTTTGAGGTTGCTGTGAGCTATGACACAATGGCACTCTACCAATGGTGACAAACTAAGGCTCTCTCTCAAAAAGGAAAAAAAAAAGGCAGATGATCATCTGTTGAATGATTTTGTATTATGAATTCTGGGTCTACATGCTAAGACTGAAAGGTCTTACACTATTTGCTTTGCAGTTCGCTCAGTGAGTGGGCAAATGGAAAGGCCACCAGCAGCCTGCATTACTCATTAATAGCTCTAGACGAGTTTTCAAATACTAAAATACGTATCATATTGGGAGGGTTATTTAACTCTCACCCAAATTTTAAGGAAAAGTGATTCTTACACAGTTAAGAGACAAAAAGTCTCAAGACTCTGTCTCCAAAAAAACAAACAAACAAAAAAATCAAACTCTTAAAAGTAAAAGTTCTTCTTGTAACTTCCCTAACCTTGCCCCAGTCCCACTCCTTAGCAATAATGCCCTTCAACACTGTGTTTTCCTTTATTGTAGTTATCATTAAAACTTAAAAAGAGAGAGAGACAAAAAGGAAGAATTCATTATATATCACTAAATAACAAAAACATCTTGAATCCATCATTCCATGAAAATATTCCTCTATGAATAAGGCAAGCCGGGGCCCAAACCTTGATTTTAGCTGTGTGAATTCAGCTATACATTCCATAACTCTGAACTACACAAACTGTGAAATAATAAATCTACACTTTTGGATACTAAGTTTGTAGTAATCTGTTACCAAGCAATTGAAAACTAATAAAGTTGGAAAAGACTAACCAAGTCTACGTGTAGAACTTACCCTGTTCAGACACTCTAAGGAGAGCTTCTCTTTCAAGTACAAGAGATAAAGACCATCCAAAAATGTACAGTAAAATAAATGAGGACTATTATACCCTCGGAACAGCTATAACTTTTCCTCTGTAGCACTTCCTGTCACTATGATGCCATCCTCAGTGATGCCGATAGACAGAAGCTTTATAAATATTTCAAATAAATGTAAAGTAATAGATCATTTTATTTCAGGCTAGAAAATAAAAATAATTCAGGTCCTATTTTTTTTGAAACCTCCCAATTTCAAAATGCAAAACTCTACTTGCTATTATTAGTAAACTATGTATTAAACTACCACTTCTCAGTGTTATAAACAGGACTAAAGACAGGATGACATTTTATTACCTTGCTTTCCTCCCCTTGTCTCAGTCTTCCAGGACTTGGAGGAACCGAAGGTCGCTTTCTACCCTTTTCCTGCTGAAAAAGGTCTTGTAACCTATGGCCAAAGTCAAAAGCAGTAGCAGCAGAAGGAAGAAAAAAATATGTGGTTTTGTTTCCGGACCTTTTATGTTTATGAATTTTCTCTTTACAACCTTGAAATCATAAAGAATTTTGCTGTTTTGATTATAATAGACTTTTAAAATGTGTATAAATAGACTAAGTATCTTAGTATATATTAATCAACTAACAAAGAGATCTTGCTGATATGACTATAATTATAAAACAATTAACAAATTATCATAAAAATAAAAAATTAAGAATTTATTTTTCTATTATAAAGAAAAATATTTCTAAAAATATTTAAATAAAGGTATGACACAAACAAATCAACATATTTGAAATTCCTGGCCCAAATACCAATAAGTCATTCATGGCATTCTAAGTCAAGTTATGTATGATTCAATAGAGCACACATTTGAAAAAGCATTATTTCAAATTATATTAGAAACAACATTAAAGGCTGTTCTCATCTTTTCTTTTACATCTTCACAAACTACCTAAAGATCTGAGTGTATAATTTAAAATATAAAGGGAAGAGTGATAGAAAACAAAAGCTTTATAACTTGAGAGTAAAATGAACCATTCATAATTAATAAAGACTTTTAAATTTTAAAATATCATGGCAGAGCAATGTGGCAATGGTATTAAAAGAAAACCAGACCGCAAAAATCATACCTGTTATTCCAAGCTTGGAGCACTTCACAGAGGCTTTGTTTCTTGGCAATCAGTGACTCAAAGACTGACTGTAGTTGCTGAGGGGTATCTACAGAGGAAGACATGAGCCTCGCTTGCATCTTCTCAATCCAGTTCTTGAACTCGCCTTCTTCCATCTACAAGGAACAGAAAAATTTCAGAAACTAAGACATTATACACACATACCCCAAAAGACAGGTCTAAGAACTTAACAGTTAGCTTTTTAATTTTCTATCAAAGAAATGAATTACCTCTTTTTGTGCAAAGATATCTTCCATTTTTTCCTCTCTTGTTTTGCTAAATGTATCAGTTTTCAATGATGCAAGTCTTTCATCAACAGCAAGATATACTTGTGAAACCCTAATGATAGAAAGAGAGAACATTAAACACTGGATAAAAGATAGAATCAAATTTTCTATCTCACATAAATAGAAAAGATATTACATACAAAACTGTAACTGAAATGTTTTACCCAAGAAATCACATAAAATTTTGCAGAGCAAAAAATACCTGAAAGCATGTACAGTAGAACCTCCATATTAGACCACCTCCTACATGGACCACCTTCTTAAGTTGACTTAAATTCATAGACCAGACATACACCACACGTATGAGGTGGGATATTTAAGTTTGCAAACTCATCCTAGAAAAAGTGCTACATACCTCACTGCTGAATACATATGCATATCACTGTGGTCACCTTTGAAGAACTCCCCTTGGGAAGCTATGCACCAATACCAGCGCCCAGTCCACCCTCAAAGCACTTTTTCTAAGATGAGTTCACGAACTTAATTGTCAGACCCCATACAACAACAATCCTGATGGCCATTCCAGAAAAAGAGTTCCAAAATTACTTTGAAAGGTAGACTAGGTGCTGCCATTGGTGCATAGCTTCCCAAGGGGGGTACTGTGAAGGTGTGCATAGACATATTCAGCAATGAAGTACGTAGCACCTATTCTAGAATGAGCTCACAAACTTCATTATCTGACCTCATACATATCAGTACAGTAGGCCAGTTCCTTATGCTAACCATCTCTGTACACTGATGCATTTGTTACAATCCCTGGGGTGGTCAATTTATAGAGGTTCTATTGTAATTTTTACCAAAAAAAAAAAAAAACAATTTTTTTGAGATAAGTTCTCACTCTGTCACCTAGGCTAGAGTGCAGTGGCTTCATCAGCTCACTGTAACCTCGAACTCTTGGGTTCAAGCAATTCTGCCTCAGCCTCCCAAGTAGCTGGGACCACAGATGTGCCACCCTGCCTTACTAAGTTGAGACAGAGACTCTCATGCACTGGTCTTTAACAACTGGTTTTGAACTACTGCCTCAGTCTCTCCAAGTGCTAGAATTACAGGCATGAGGCACTGTACCCGGCCTACGTTAAGATTTTTAAAGTTGTTTTCTCTATATAAGAGATTTTTACTTCTTTTTTAATATTTTCCCATGTTGTCTGCATGTTCACATACACCAAGCATATGTAACATACAATTAGCAAAGGAGCGTTATTTACATTTTCAAAGAAAGTTAAATGAGCAAGCAGCTGTAGATCAAAGAGAGCACTAAATAAAAAAGGATAATTAAAGAAACTTACTTTTGAAAGAAGTCCTTCAGATCCTGAAGAAGAGACACTTTCAATGGGGCCTGACGTTTAATGAATATTTTGGGGAGTGGCACACATACTTCAAGAAGCCGAATGGGAGAATAACTAAGAGAAGAAAATATAAGAAATAGTAGAAAAATAAGAAATATTTTAATATCTTAAGTAGAGCAGCATCTTTCATGAGGAACAACTAAATCCTTTGAGACATAAGAGAAAACAACATTTCCACAAAATCGCATTTTAACACCCTGTTGACCAGGAATTTTATGCAGAAGCTATCAATGTTGCCGGGTAACTCATGACCAATCAGCAATGTGTTAAAACAATCATGAAGATATTCAACATAACCTTTAAGCATTATAAGTATTCTCTTCAATTTTGGCAGGATTTTCTTCCGTTTCTTCACCACAGTGTGGTGCCATCATTTATCCTTATTTGCTATAAAAACAAAAGTGATTTTAATAGAAACCTTCCCTATGAACTCCTTCCTAAGATTAGTTTAGACAGGTATTCTTTACCTTCTGGCTCCTGAGGCTTTTTCTGGAGTTTTTATTTCCTTTCCACCTGAGGGTTCATAGTGACTAGTAAATGCCACACCCCAGTCAAGTTAAAGCTCTTACTTACGGTTAAAGCTCTTACTTAAAAAAGGAAATAAACTCTAATTAGCAAATATTTCCTGAGGGTCTATTATGTGACAGACACTATTTTAGGTGCTGAGGATACATTAACCAAGGGCCAACATTCCTATCATCCTAATTGAGAAATAAGATTTCAGTAACAAATAAATATTCAAAGCATATATCAGATGGGACATACTTTAAGAAAAAATAAACCAAGAAAGAGAAGCAGGGAGTGCTTGGGTGGGGAGTGTCAGGGCAAGTGAAATGTGAACAAATACCTGCTGAATTAAGGAAAGAGCAGGCAGAAGAGCTATATGAGCTAATTTACCTCTAACAAGACAACTCAGATTGTTTTGTTGAGAACAGGCTGCAAGGATAGAGACAGAGAATAACACATACCTACAAATTAAATCTAGTAACAGTGAAATTTTACTATTATATGACTTCAAATAATCATGTGATCACGTACAAGGTCGCTTGGACTTCTTACCTGAAAGATGCCACCATCTGGTTATAGGAGAAATACTGATGATAATCATGGTGGATGGAGTGACCACATGGCTCAGCATTAGCTCTACGAGTGTATTGGTGCCCATAAAATCTAAGTTCAAGGTATTTTGCAAATGACATAGACCAGGACTCATTGGAAAGAGCAACAACTGGAGTTACCTAGAATTCAGCAAAATAGTTTATCTAAGCACCTACTGAGAATCTTCTTTACAAATTGCATACTGTCTCTTCTAATACAAACCAAATACATTCTGACTACAGAAAACCAGGGAAAGAAGGAAAAGTTCAAAGACATGTGAACAAACATGAATCTGAAAGAGCCCATCCTTCAAGATGGACCTAGCGTGGCTAGCTGGGCCTAAATTTAAAACAGAGCCAAGCGGCCATTTGTTAAGTAGAGGTCACACGCTGTGCTGTAACTTCTCCAAAAACCCCTACCTTTCTGAGACCTTAAGAGCTGCCCTGAACCAACTAATTAGAACTAAGAAAGTTTTAATCTTTCATATGATAAATGACAAATGAATATAACTGGGAACCTGGACAGAAACTTTTACTATAAAACCTGAACCCAGAGGATCACTTGAACCTACAGAGTTTGTTAGAGACTGCATTGAGCTATGATCGTATCACTGCACTCAGCCTGACAGAACAGCCCAGGCGACACAGCACACACAATGTTGTTTAAAAAACAAAAAAGCAAACAAAAAACCCGGAGGCCTCTCTTTCTTCTCTGGAACACATCACATTATTTTACATCGAGGCCTAGGTCTTCCTGGTTTGCAAACTGTTCACTGGAATGCAGTCTTTTTCTCTGAATTTCTTTACAGAGAGCTTTTGTTCATAGATGGGTGGAGGTGGGAGTGGTAAGAAAGAGACAGCAGCATCACCGTATATCCCACCACCAATATCAATAACCTAGTATAGGTTTATTTTCTTTCTATATATGAAAACATACACAGCCATACAGCCAAGGGATTTATAAATATAAACTCTTTCATATAATTAGCTTTAAACTTTTCTTTCTTAGTGATATGTCATGAATATTTTCCCATGTAAAATAAGCTTATACAACTTTATAAATAGCCACAGAGTACCTTATTATATAGATATACATCTAACAAATTCTCATTAATATGCATGTAAGACATTACTAGTTTTTCCTTAATAGAATGCTCTGAGGAACACCTTTGCATATATATATTACAAATGGTAGTCATTATTTGGATTAATAAAAGTAGAAATTGTTAGGTCAAAGGGCACAAACAATTTATATGGTCTTTAATACTTCTGGCACACTGTCTTCCAAATCAGGTACACTGGTTTATACCATTTGCAACAATATTTGATAATACCAATTTCCCCTCATTCTTTCCAATCTTAGGAACCAGGATTGAAATATTTTAAATGTAATTTAAGAAAATTTTTTGAGGCACTTTACTCACTTTATGTTTTTTTGACTAAAATGAGAAAAATTTATTTGCACATTTTACTGGCTATTTGCATTAAATTTCTTTGTTGTATCCTTGGCCCATTTTTCTATTAGAATGAATATAGAAATTCAGTACTAACTATATTTATGTTTGGTCATATATGCTATAGCTTTTCTTGATACCATACGGTTTTCATTTTAGTATAATAAAACTATTTCTCTTTTCCTTTTCAGTATAATCCCCAAAGCAGAAATTTTAATTTAAAATAAATAAATTTAATTTAAAATAAATCTATTCGACCATGCAAACCATAAAGATCAAATTTAATGGTTAACCTACACAGTTCACATATTTCACAACAAAATATTATCAGCTATGTAATAGAAAACTAAAGGCCTATAAAAATAAACTTGAAAGACTTGTAAGTGCTGGAAACAGTTTCATGTCTGCATGTTTACTGATAGTGAAGGAAGTTTCATTTTGCCTTTTTCTACAACTAATTAATCTAAGTCACACTATTATTTTATCTGTAATTCCCATATGTGCCTTTCAAAAGTACTTTCCAAAATAAGCCAATTAACAATTAAGTTAAATTTGGTACATACTCACTGCAAACAATTTGCATAAAAATTACATATTAAAAACACAATATTGGCACCAAATATTTGTTCCAGAGTTAGAAAAATAAAGGCATGGAGAAGAAATTAGACAAATGTCTTTTTCTCAACAATATACATGAAAACCAGCATAAACCAATTTCAATGTGGTCTCATCAATAAGATTGAAATGTTGATGTAGGTGCAAATTTATTATGCAAATATCCTAATATTCTGCAGTTATTGCTTTAATATTTGTCTGTCTCTTCACCTATAAGACAGAAGTCATTTCTTATTCTTTTTTTTTTTTTTTTTCATTCCTAGGGCCTGGCAGAGCACCTGCACATAGACAGTGTTAAATAAGTGTTTGCAGAATGAATAAACAAACATGACTGAGAATTATCAAGATACAATCGTCAGGTATTCTACTGGATAAGGTACTTATACTTTCTTTAATGACTGATACATCACCAAGATGAAATCTTAAAAAAACAAAAATTAGATTAAAAATACAGGAGTAGAAAGCAAAATCCCCCCAAAAGAGCTATACAAATAAATAAATGCCCCTTAAAATATTACAGTAACAGAGTATATTTACCTGCTTACAGATTCTGCACCAGGAATATGTGAGAATTGTATGTTGATATCCAGGGACCGGAGAATCCAACTCCTTCAGGATTATCTGCACACAGCCTTGGCCATGGACAAAGCGACGAATGTGATGCACCATGGGGGTATCACAGAACATGCTAGGACACTGATAAGAAGGCCTTTGACAAACAAGAGAGTCCTTCTCACATTGAGCATGAAAGGGAGAAGCCATATATAATGAATACTGGCTAATCAGAACCACTGACAAGAAAGTACAGCATCCTCTCTGGAGTAACGTGACAGGTGAACAATCTCTACAGAGATTCATTCTACTCTGAACCTGAAGTTGAACATCCTATTTTCAACTATAGCATGGTGACAGTTCACAGGTTTTAAGCACCTTCTAAATGCCAACAGTTTCAAAACATTTCTTTCTACCCATTAAAAGCCTAACATTTCTGGAGATTGTTATTTTCTATAATGGGAGTTGATAAAGATCAAATTACGTGTGTTTTGTAATGTAAGTGGTGGGGGCAGCAGTAGGAATTAAAGGGAGGCCTCGCTAATTTCAACATTTTGTGCTGAAAATATCTTACGGATGGCAGGGTGATTAGATGAACAAACATATGAGGAATGCACTAGATGAGATATCCCAGAAGGAATATGAAACAGATTACCTCTCTGTATGGTATACTCTGATATGCAGTATGAAAAGTAAGGACTCACACAGTAATACTTGACATTCAACTCATTTTTAAAATTCAAAACATGGGCATCAAAAAATGCACAACGGAACATATAAGGAAATTTGCTCTTACCTGAAACAGTATCTCTCTAAAAATATTCCTAGTGTAAGATCATTCTTTCCATAAAATTCCATTGTCACTATCCTAAAAGAAGAGATCACCTCTTAGAAACATAAGAATTACACTAAAGACTACACGCTCTGATTACCTGTTAAACGTCTAGTACTTACAATGAAGTATTAAAGCAGGTACTCTCTGTTGCTATAGAATGGGTCTGACCTCATCCAGTAAACAAGTGTGGACTACCCACCCTATAGCATCTTTTTACTCTCAGTACTTCAGAAACTATGTAATGAGGCTACATAAACTATAATATTGGGTAAAACCAGTTAGGAAGAAGTAAAAGTTTCCTTCTCAAAGGCTTTATCCCTGTCAACATAAAGTGGGATCCTGCTCTCTAATCCACACCTCTAGAGAGCATGGAAAGCAGCGACCCGTGTTCTTGCTAAAGTGTCAATTCCTAACTTTTTATGTAACTTATATATGCCCACGAATAAGAACGTATGGCCACATACCTAGCAAAACCCACAACTTATTCAAGCCCTGACCTAAGGAGTCTGTACACTCCCACAGAAAATTCCTAATAGGCTCCTCCAGCCCCAAGTCCTCTTGCTGGAGCTGTACCACCAGTGGAGGAATCACTGATCTCACTGCTGGAAGTAAGATTACTGCGTGTCCAAAATCAAAACACAGAACACATTCTGTCAGGGAAAAAGTGCTCCAGTTATCTTATGTTTCATACTATTTCTTAAGCTAAAGGTAAACTGTGTAATGTAAGGCTATGTATAGGTCTAAGTAAGATATTTTTTATATCATTTGAAAAAAAATTGAAAACATTATAAAGTAAGTTCTATTTCAATCCACTTAGAATTTAAGTTTTAGAATAAAACCCATTAACACGACAAAACGCTAACTGCTTTTGTAAAACAGACAACTAAAAGAAAACCTGCTTAAATTGTATGTATTATCATCAAAATGCTTTAAATTATCAACTTTCTCAGATTTCTAAGTATAGAACAACATTCCTAATATGAAAATCTGAAATGTGAAACACTCCAAAATCCAAGACTTTGAACACCAACATGATGCCACAAGTAAAAAATTCTAGACATGATGCTTTCTGATGGTTCAAAGTATACAAAGTTTGTTTCATATAAAAATTATTCAAACTCTTCTATTAAAATTACCTCTGCCCCATGTTTATTTGGTATATACGAAACAAATTTCATAATTAGATTTGGGTTCCCTCTTCAAGATATCACATTTTATATATATATATATATATATATATATATGTAATTATTCCAAAATATGAAAAAATGCAATATCCAAAATACTTCTGTCACAAGCATTTTGGATAAATAATGGTCAACTTATTCAAATTTCTTTTCTATCCCTTACATTTTTTCCCCTCTTAAAGTACTCTCACTTACTTCTACCCCTGAACAAACACATATTTTCATATTTGCTTCACAATTTAAAAAGTTCTATGAATTAATATATGACAAGCAGCATGCCATGTACCTAAAAACAGGTCCTAATTTTTCTATAAGTTGCTGGAATTCTGTTTGACAGTGTGATAGGGTAAGGAAAGAAGAATCCTACCAAGGACTGACACAGGCACTGGGAGCATTGCTGGACTGGGCAGAGGAACTGCTGAAGAGCACGCACAGTCTCTGGTGGTTAACGGGATTCAGACAATCCACCTGGGAAGGAACAGATGTGTGACTGCAAGCTAGAACACGTTCCCAACCTCAGGGGATGCTTGTAACACCAAACACATCCCACTCTATCTGGAAAGGCTCCAACCATCACTGCAGGAGTACTGGAAAGATTTACAACTTTATATAAGAAACTACATCTAGGGAAGAAGGGCAGCTGATTTTTGAGGGAAGAAAATTGAAAAAGTTTAAGTTAACCCTAAAAATTAAAAATGCCTAAATAGCTTATTTTCTTAAATATACTTATTTTTAAAAAGCTGCATTAAATTACTTTGGAAGAAAAAGTTAATTAAATCTATCCATATGAAATAGTCTGAACTGACGGCTAGATATAACGTTAATCTGAGACACCCAGAAATTTAAATTCTAAGGTATTTATTTCATCTGTACTTTGAATTTTTTTTTTCTACCTTCAAAGAGTCTCACTTTATTGCCCTCAGTGGAGTGCTATGACATCACTGCTCACAGCAACCTCAAACTCCTGGGCTTATGCAATTCGCTTGCCTAAGCCTCTCAAGTACCTGGGACTATGGGCACCCACCACAACACCTAGCTTGTTGCAGTTTGGCCGGGCCAAGTTCAAACCTGCCACCCTCAGTATATGAGGCCGGCGCCCTACCCACTGAGCCACAGATGCCGCCCTCATCTGTATTTTCAGACTCTGATATTGCTAATGAAACAAAAGCTCAAAATATTATTTAAATAAATGAAACTACCTGTGTTTTGTGACTGTTTTTGCTCATTACAAAGATAACACCAGCTCTGTTAAAAGGAAAATAGCACAGAAATACATGAAGAAGTTCATGAAATACATAAAGCCTCTCTACCTCCTTCCAGAGCTCAGTAGTTTGGTGGTATCTACATATTCTAAAGCCAGGTACTACTGCACACCTATAGTCTTATCTACTTGGGAGGCTGAGATGAGAGGATGAATACAGCCCAAGGGTATGAGACCAGTATGGACAGCATAGAGACGCCCTGTTTCTGAAAACATAAATAAATAAAAAATAAATCCATTCTTTTTGCTAGCTGTTATACATACACACATACCCCTAGGTAAGTAGACAAAGGAGATTTTGTTTTTATAAAAATGGGATGATGCTATCTAGGTGAACACACAACTTGCTTTTCTTAACATTTTATAATACATATAACATGGGCTTTATCCAAGTTATTAAATGAGATTCCATTCATCATTTTTACTGCAAAAAACTGGAAACTGCATTAATAAACAACTTTGTAGTTCTTCTTAGCAAAGTATCACAGGAATGGAAGAAAAAGTATCCAATATACACACCCTATTATGAAATTAATTTAAACCTTTTATATGAAAGTTATAACCTAATAACAACCTAAGGATACGGGGAGGGGGGAGGGAGGGGGCGGGAATGGGTGGAGGGAAGGGGATTCGAGGGTTCACTTCTGTGGTTTATCTTACAAGGGTACAAGTGAATCTTTCTATGAGTAAAATATGAACGTTTTAACACAATAACTAAGAAAATTACGTGAAGGCTATGTTGACCAGTTTGATGGAAGTGTTTCGGATTGTGTGTGAAAACACCACACTGTACGTCAGAAGTGCATTAATGTACACAGTTACCATTCAATTAAAAAAAAATGAAAAAAATAAAAATAAACAACTTTGTACATATATTCTTACAAAATGCAAACAAAGCATTCTTATATAAACACGCTTATCTGCAAGAATAGATTATAAAAAGTAGGAGCCCTCAGTCAAAGGTATATACATGTACACTTAATTAAGACTTCCTTATCACTTTCTATAAATTTATACAAGTGTAAGCATAAATTTGTACAAATGTAAGTGTTAAGTTTATAAAAATGTATACAAATGTAACCATAAATTTATATAAAACTTATGAAAGGCATTTTTCTTTTTTTTGAAACAAAGTCTCAAGCTGTCGCCCTCAGTAGAGTGCTGTGGCATCACAGTTCACAGCAACCTCAAACTCCTGGGCCCAAGGGATTCTCTTGCCTCAGCCTCCAAAGTAGCTGGGAATACAGGTGCCCACCACAATGCCCAGCTACCTTTTGGCCAGGAGTAGATTCGAACCTGCCAGCTCCAGTGTATGTGGCTGGTGCCCTAGCCACCTGAGCTACAGGCACCTGGCCAATGAAAGGCATTTTTTAACACTGTCACTAACCATGGCTCCTTTATCACCTTCCTTTTTGCTGATTTCACAAAAAATTAATTAGTTCCACTATTATTTAGCACTTCCTTGACTACTAATGAAATTGAATGTCTTTTTGTTTTACTAAACAATTGCATCTCCTTATTTAGAGATGAATTTGTCCCATTATTTATTACTACCATTATCAATAATGTGTCCATAAAACAAATCTTCCTTAATTTGCTTTCAAATTCAATCTAAAACAAAAAGAAAAAAGTCATTGTCATAGTTAAATAACAAGGTATAGCATTTTGCATTAAAAAATAAATAAATCTAATATTTCTTTAAAAAACACATCCATTGCCTACAATAAGCTTCTCTCATTCTGTCACTACCTTCAAAAGGATCAAAAACGCATCACACCACATACAAGTAAGCCAAGCTGACAAAAATTATAAGCAGCTCCACACTTCCTTTTACCACGGGGCTCTTACTACTTTACTGTGCTCTCATCTCAAAATCCTCCAATTTCATAATTCTAATTCATACAAATTAAAGTAACCCATAAACCAACAGATTTAAGACCAAAAAAAAAGAAAACCAGAGAAGAAACATTTACTAAACCTACATGAAATCTGTCAAACTGGCTCACCTTTGTTGACCACACTGCATCATTTGAAATCAGCCCTCTCTCTTCGTCATCCTCAGTTTTGCTTCCTGATTTGCCACTTGAGGTACCTGATGCATCTTTTGAATGAGCAAAAGGGTCTGCATATTTTGGCTGAATTCTTCCTCCTCTGGCTCGATAATCAGCCAGCATTCTACCCAAGCTCTGGCTATCACCCAAATGCTCTGCAATTCTAGTGCTCACTAGCTCATGCGAGGGCAAGACTTGAATATACTTGGCCTGAATACTTCCATTCATGCCCTGAAGTCCAGAGAGATCCCTGAGTAGCTGTTTCTTCCTCCTATTCTCCATTTCCTTGAACTCTTTATTGAGGAGAGGAGACCAGTAAACCTGCTCTGCAAAATAATCTCGGGTAGAGCACCTCATCCCCTTTTCAGTTAAAAGGAAAGGTTCCCGGAATGTGATTACTGGGGAGATGCAGAGGATCACATCTTTTAATTCCTGTTTAAAGGCCAAAGAATAAGTCTTTCGTTTGTCTTCAGAGGAGGTGACTTCCTCAGCAACATATAATCCCGAGTCATCCTGCAGAGGGTCTCTAAAGGCTTTTGTCTGGCTTTTGGGATCCTGTAGTTCATCTGCTTGCTGCAAAGCCTCTGGCTGCTCATTGCCTACAGCATCCTGTTGGTCATCTACATGGAGGGGTAACAAGGACTCCGGTACTGCTGGGAAGAAAGCAGGAGGGCAGGGCAAGCCACCTGCAGGGCAAGCTGTTGTGGCGTATTCTTGGTGCTTCAAAGAGGCAACAGCCTGAGGAACACTTTTACTTTCCTGCTCACTCTTTTCAAAGACAATCCTTGATTCCAGCAAACTGCTATCATCAGAAGACAGAGACTCAGGAAGGATGTCAGGATCCCAGGGGAAGGAACTTCCACTGGACTGCTCTTGTGCAGCCCCCTCACTCCCTTGTCCCTCAATCAGAGAATGAAATGAAGGGTTTTGCATTAATGTGGGAGGCATAGCAAATTCATCCATGAGAAAGGAGATTTCTAGTTGAGAATGATAAGCTACACAGATCATGAAGATTAGGATCTCTTTAACTCGAGCCAATTCATAATCAGAGCCTCCTCTAAGCTTGATTGTACAGCCTAGGTGTTGCGAACAGCCTTCAAAAAACATCAGTGTTTTGGTTTGTTCTACAAATAAATAAACAAATAAGTTAACCAGGCTTAGAAAGTCCAGAAAGAATAAATTTACATTTTAACATCTACAAAAGAAAAGTCTTTATGTAAGACCACAGTTGCCTATCCTCAATCACTACTAACAGATATTTTCTACTAAACATTGTAATACTAATGAGTTAACACAAATACTCAGTTCCCCATTCTCAGGTGAATCTATCCTAAGATCACTCACCATTAGGCAACTGAAACAGCTGCAAATAAAATTTGTGACAGGTGCCCAGGTGTGGTTTCGTAAGTAGCTGGTCCATCGACATTACTAAATCACCCTGCGTCATCCGACTGATTCGTTCCAAGACTTGCTACAACACAGAAAAACATTACATTAAAAATTTAGAGAAGAATAAAAATCTTCATAAATTTAATCTGGAAAAATTAAAAAATAACCCTCACAATCAATTTTCTTAATTTAAAAAATTGTACAGCAAATTTTGTGCTCCTGGATTAGTCTACACTTAGTCGTTTAGTGATCAATACTTGCCCACTAAAACAAACCATATTCATATAAATGTTATCAAAATGCACTTAAGCATCATGCATTAAAACAAGAAGATACTGGGGAAAAACAAAAACTTCCTAAAACTGGCCTCTATGCTGCAGAGGGTAAACATTTCAAGGGAGAGAACATTTTCTGCTTGTACAATTCCCCAGCTGCACTTTGGGTCAACAAATATATACTAATTAACAAATTTCCACCCCCACCTTTAATTATATAAATAATCAATCACACTTTCTTCCCATCTGATATTCTCCAGTCTTAAATACTAAAACAGCTGCCATGCCTTCTGTCCCACTTTCAATATTCATCATCCAGCAAAGAAATAAAGATTCCTGTATAACTACCATACATGCACAGAAATTTAAAGACTGATTTAAAATAAATAGAAAAATAAGAACACTCACTGATTTTACATTAATGACCAAAGTAATGCCATGTTCCAGCAACATGTCCTGGGCAATCCGAGATACTGTTTTCTCAACTAGAACCAATGTGGGTCGAACATCCACTATTCGCTGAACATAATTCTTCAAGAATTCCCTTTCCTAAGTAAGATAAATCACAAATATTATGCCTGGTACAGGTCAAGACCTGGACATGTTAAAATATCAGAATGGCTTGACTATTAGTATCAGCATCAGCCTAAAATAAATATCCAGAAATAAATCTGTAAGCAAATTAATTCAAACACAGCCAAGAATCTCATAAATCATTTCAAACTGTTAATCATGCTGATAAGAGCTTCAGGAGAAATTCTTTTCTCTAACTAATTTTACTTTGCAGGATTCCCAATTCTTTTTTTTTTTTTTTTTGAGACAGAGCCTCAAGCTATCCCCCTGGGTAGAGTGCCGTGGCATCACAGCTCACAGCAACCTCCAACTCCTGGGCTCAAGCCAGTTTCCTGCCTCAGCCTCCCAAGTCGCTGGGACCACAGGCGCCCACCACATCACCCAGCTATTTTTTGGTTGCAGCCGTCATTGTTGTTTTGGTGGGCCCAGGCTGAATTTGAACCTGCCACCTTAGGTGTATGTGGCTGGCGCCTTAGCCACTTGAGCCACAGGTGCCGAGCCAGGATTCCCAATTCTTAATAAACTGCAAAGTAAAAGCCAAGAATCCAATTCACCAGTTCTCAAAGGTTAAAAACAACAACAAAAAACTTAACTCCTAAACTCTCCTTAACTCCTTAACTCTTGACTCCTAAAATGAAAGTAATTTCTAAAAAAAAAAGAAGAAAAGAAAAAAGTCATTTCTAAGCATTTTTAATATGGTTATGAATTTCCTCCTTTATATTCTGAAACCAACCAGAATATCTCTTCTTGGCATCTGAAAAACTAACAGATGATATTGTAGCTACTTCCTAATTCCAATCTCCCAACAGAATATAGTCTACTAGAACAGCTGTAATTAAAAGACCTAAAGCATACTGCTTAATATAATCTCTTCACAAAGTCGTAATTTCAAAACAAAATGAATATGGTAAATAACAACCTGAGTTAAAACAACACACTTCATTAACTGTTACATAACATTTCCAGGCTCCAGATGAGAGACAACTGAAGGTAATGTTATCACTCCTGCTTCATGTGCTCAAAGTATTTTCTGAGCAAGACTATATTAATGTTCACTAACACCAACAATAGACAAGCCTGCTCCCTGCAATGAACCTGCCCTGTTAAGCAGTATATATCTTCTCACCTTCCTCTGTTTTGTGCATTTAGACATTTTCAAATTCTCTCACTACTAACAAAATGAAATTTTTTCCCCTGAAATGTGTTAAATTCCTACTTTGCTTATTGAACTATAATTTAACAGCATTTAAAATAATTTCATCTGTGCAACTCAAATAAATTGTAATTAGAGTTGATTTTATAAAAGATTCTGCCTTTGGTATAGAGATGGCAAATAAATTTCCTCTCAGTTCTAGCTCCAACCAACCATTTCGCTCAAGAAGCACCATGTTAAAAGGAGCCTGCTCCAAACTCAGCCAGGAACAAGCATTAGGCACTAGGCCAAGCACGTGGAATGAGCAGTGAAAGAAGCTGGCAGGCCCACCCCTAGGAAGGTGGCATAAAGTCACAGGCAATTACTCCCTGCCCTTTGATTCT